ATAGTACTTAATCCTTTACCTCTTATATAAAGTAGCTATCCTTTTAATAAATAACGTAATAATAATATACTAAGAGCTCTTTAGCTATATAAAAGTATATTATTAATAATGACTTATTCTTAAAGTTACGAAAGGCTAGTACTTTACCCTTACCTTTCTTTAAGGAGCGCCTTTCTATAAAGTTACTTAATATTAAGTAATATTAATATATTATCTTATTATTAAGGGATCTATCGCTATAAAGTATATATATATTATAGAGTATAGCTTTAACGTTAATAAGGATATAAGCTAGGTCTAACTTTATATAAGTCTCTTTAAGCCCTTTTATATAGTCGCTATTATTACCGCTATTATTATTATCGTTATTATTATTATCGTTATTATTATTTAATTAGCTTTTAATAATATTACTTATTTATAATAGCTTATATAATAACTTAATCTTAGCTCCCTTAAGCCCTTAAAGGTAGGCTAGAAACTAAGTCTAGATAAGCTACCCCTTATAGTCTACCTATAAATTCCTTATATCCTCTACCCTTATAGCTTTTTCGTTAAGATTATATATTACTATCTTTAGATCCCTTTTTAGACCTTTAAATAATTCTATCTCCTCTTTATATAAAGATAGTAATATCTATAGTATTAATATATTAAGGCTTATAATAATAGTTCCTTTATTAATACTATTAGCTATTAATAAGGCTATAGCTTTTATAATAAAGTAGTTAATTAAGCTTTTTACTATAAAGTATATTTATAAATAATATAGCTATTAAAGTATAATACTTACTTTCTTATATTATAATGCCTTCTTTTTATACTTAAGTATATAATTATATATAATAATAAGCTATACTATATAAAAGTTATAATTAATAGCGTATATATAGCGATACTTAATATATATATATAATCTATTAATTATTTAATAAGGCTATATTCTTTCTAGCTACTATTAATAGAGCTCCTTTAAGGGCTATAAGCTATAGCTTAATAATAATTTAATAGTCGCTTTTAGCTCGTTACCTTATATATAGTATAGGTCGGCCTATAAATATTATATCTATCCTATTGCCTTTATAGCTAAATATATCCTATAAGTATAGTATATAATAATATAGTAATTAGCGTTATATATAAATATATTAAGGCTTATTATAGCGTAATAAAGCTAGGGCAAGACTTATATATATTAATATAAAGATATATAAATATATAAGTAAATATATAAATATAGTATAAACCCTATAATATTATTTAATATATATAAGATATAGTATATATTAATAAAGAATAGAAAGAGTATAATAAGAAAAATAAGACTTATTTACTTCTTAAATTAACTATATTATTAATAGAAATACTATATACTATAAGTTATAGTTATATATTATATTATATTATTTATAGCTTATTTATTCTACTCTTAAATAAAAAAGGCTTAATATTAACTATAAAGCTAGTAGCCCTTATCTATATCTATATTTAACTATAAATAGATAATAGAAATATATATATAGATTTAAGTATTATATATATATAGTCCGTGCCTATATATAGTAACGAAAATAATATTAATCTTCCTCGTTTCCTTATTACTGCCCCGCCCTTAATATAAGCTGTTTTTATTTAATTAACGCTAGCTTTTTTATCGAATTCCTTTTTTATTATATTAACGTTAGTATAAGGGCCTAGCGCTATATTATTTCCCGCGCGGCTATAGTATATAGGGGTACTTAAGACGACCGATAGGGATACCCTTTTTTATCGAAAAGAGCTGCCTATAATAGTTATTAGTTAAAAAGGGCCGCTTATAATAGTTATTAAGAAGGTTTATAACTAGCTTACTACTTATTAATTTAAGAGTAATATTTCTTATATATATTACTAAGTTAAGGATCCCTTTTAAAATAAGTATATCTTTATAGAAGAGAAGGCTAATAAGTAAATATAATAGTTAAAGTATTAATATTAATATTAAATAAAAGGGTAATATTAATTATAGCGATTAAAAGGCAGAAAGATAAAGAGAGAGCTAGCTTTTTTATAAGTGCCTTTATTTTAGTTACTATCGAAAATACTAAAAAGGATTATATATATCTACTAGGCTAATATATTAACTTTAGTAGTACTTTAATATAAGAGGATACGCTCTATAAAAAGGTATATTATAAGTAATTAAATATTTTCCGCTTAATTTTATAAGATCGTATTAAAATATTATTAGCTTAGTTAACTTTTACTGCTCGTTATATATTATATATATTAAGAATAATCCTATGCCTTATATATTAATATATATTATTTATCTATTATAGGGCTATATTAAACGGTTTTTAAGCTACTCTTTATACTTTAAGCTCGAAACTAAAAGCTGGATATATAGTTTTCTAGAGCTTCTTTTATCGCCCGATTATAGTCTATAATAATATTATATAATAGGGCTATTTTATGCTATATAATTAATCCCCGGACCGCTCTTATATATAACTGAAATATTTTATATCTCTTATTATTATTAAAGGAACGTTATATTATAGACGGATTTCGAGTAAGTTTACTTAATAACCTAAGAGAGTAGTAATTTAAAGCGGTTTATATAGTATATATTATTAAAGCTTATAATCTCCGGAAAGCGCTTTTATATTTAAAGATAGTATAGAAAGGTCTAGATTAAGCTAATAAGGTAATTAGCTTTAGTCGCTAATTACTTATCGATATAGCGAATGCTTTAGTCGAAATCAGTCCGCTAAAGTCTTATAGCTAGCTTCGTCGAGGAGGTCTATACCTCCTAGCTAAAAGAAGAGAGTATATACTTCTAACGGCCCTATCCTTTAATTAAGTTAAAGTAGCCGCTATTAATATTACTCTTAACTATTTATATATATTCTTTAGCGTTATTAAGCTTAGTATTATTTATAACCTCTTACCCTTACTCTTATTTAATATTAATAAAAACTCTATAACTAATATCTATTAGCCGCTATAAGTTATCTATATATATTAAAGTTAAAGTAAAGGTCTATAATAATATTATAATAAGCGTCTATACTATTTATACCTATAATATACTTACCGGAGGTTATTAACGATATAATACTATTACCTATTTATAATCCTAGTTAATAATCGCTTAACTATAATATAGTATTAAATCGAGCGACTATTATAGCTACTATATAATTTTTCGCGCGTATTACTTTTATAGCGATACTTCAATAAGTCCGCTAATAGTAGCTCTTTTAACTAAAAGAGCCCTAAGGTATATTAATTAGATATATTAAGGATAGTATTACTATAAGTATAGTATCTAAAGTAGCAGCCCTTAATATAAGAATTAATTACTTAATTTCATTACTTATTTTAGGGATCTAGCGGTAAGGTAGCTAATTAGTCCTAGGTAGTCTTATATAAGGTCTTAAGTAATAAAGGTAATAACTATATCCTAACTTATGCCCCTAACTATATATAGACGAAAAGTATATATTTTCGGAAAATATAAGATACCCTTAAAATAGTAGGAATAGCTTATTATAGTCCTTAATATTAAGTCTAGCAAGTCGCTACTATTTATAGTTATAGCTATAATAGATAGTATTAATATAACTATACTTATATTATAAGTAGTTACTTTATATATAAATATATACGATCGCTTAGATAAGGTAGGCATTTAATACTATAAATAATACCTTAGGTTATTTAATAAAGTAATGCTACTTATTATTATTTCTATTAAAGTAGCCTATATAAAGTAGTTTATAAAGTATATTAACTTATTAAATAATAAATAATAATTAAATTATATCGTTATTAATAAATACTACTATATAGTTATAATAAGTAGCTATTATTATTTAATATTATAGTTAAGGTAATATATTTAAAGCGTTCTTATATAAACTATATAGTTAACCGCAATACTATTATTAGTATTTAAAGAGCTATTTTTTAAGTATAATAAGCTCGTATAGCTATTAATTATATAGGAATTTATAGATAGGCTAAATATACGCTATATAATATAGTATAAGCATAACTATAATATACTCGCTATATATATAGCTAGCTATATTTAGGGCTTTAAGCGCTAGAAAGATCTCGTTTAAAGCGAGCGAGATAAAGTCATCCTTTATTACTAGACTAAAAAGTTAATAGCTAAGTTAGTTACGCTATTAAGTTACCTCTATTATATAGGCGATAATAACGATAATAATAAGATAGACGCGCTAAACTAATAGCTTAGGTCTATAGCTATACTTATTATCGTTACTATATCTACCTTTAGTATTAGCTTTAACTACCTATCCGTCCGGTAGGTTATATATATAAGTATACCGATATATATAACTAACTTCTTATAGGAAATAAAGTATACTAAGTAAGTTAAGGCGCTAATAGAGTCGACGGTATTATTTAGTATTATATAAGAGCTATATAGCGAGAGGCGCCTTAACGTAAACGTAAAGTTAATAAACTTATTCCTTATATAATAATACTATTTACGTGGCGTTATAAGCTAGTTCCTCGACGCTTAATAGGACTAGAAGTAGTATATAGCGGGCGACGCGCTATATAGCGTATGCTTAGAGCCTTATATCGAGCGCCGCCTAATGGACTTAGAGTTCGAGCTGCCGAGACCGGACGACGATAAGAGGGGGCGAGTAGTAACGATAGTAGCATACATTAGCTTAGGAAGCACTTCGGGTTCGTCCCCCGAACGGAGAACGAGTATATGCGCTAGCTAAGGACACCTATAATAATAGCATAACTTTTGCCTTATATATTAATTCTAAAGAGGACTAGTCTATTATAGCCTCTACTCCCGTAGCTACCTAAGAAACTCTAATTAGGAGGGCAGATACATATTAGTCGACTTATATACTAGTGAGTAATAGAATAATGGGTATATAATATAAAATAATAGCCTATAAGCGTCGAAGAGCCATGCCTATTAAAGGTGCTTAATATTATAACCCAGGAGAACGCTAGGTCCTCTAGCGAAAGGTATTGCCTATCCTAAATTAAATCCAGCACTTCTACCTTAGTAAAGTACTGTAAAGGCGATTAAATAAGCTAAAGGTGTTATAAGTGATAACAAGCCTAAAATTAATGCACTTTTTAGCATTATCCAGCTCGATATAAATAACTCGGAGCGATAGTCGCGGCTAAAGGCAATATCAGTCTAGAAAACCAGGGCTAAGACCAGCTGAACCGGAACCAGAACGAAGAAGGCAAAGTCAAGCCTGTCGGCGAGCGAAGAGAACCACGACATAGTCTGCAGGTCATAACTCCATCGAATCCATACAGGAAGGGTATAAATAGCAGAACTCAGCATCACACCCACAGCACCCCAATACCTTCTTATAGGCTATATGTTAAACTGCGGGAATGGGTTAATAGTGGTTACCGTAACGGCTCCGAGATCTGACACAAAAACGACCACTTCGAAAACGAGCCATAATACGAGGTATATAGCCCTAAATGCCTGGCTCTAAGGTATACCCGTGCTAGCAAACAGTTTAATGAACTGCGGAAGGACCCCGATAGCGAAAGTAACCTATCGTATCCTTAAGTGCCTTTTTAAGCGCCTGATTGCTTATATATCTGCTTGACCGTGCTCATTAACGAAGCGATCCCGAAGGACTCGGGTTACTGCAAGCCGAGTGCTTAAAAGAGAAAAAGCAACAGAGGTTAGGACCGACATCGCGATATTCATAGTGTTAAATATATAGATGACTGGCGAGCTTCGAAGGATTAATCGACGTCAGTATAAGAGCCCTAAGACGTTCCTAGTAGGCTGCGTTATAGAATTTATAGCGAAGCATACCATCCAGAAAAAGACAGTTAGCTAAGGGATTTCGCGGGAGCATTCTAGTTTGCCTTAGTCACGCATCTTAGGATTAGTCTCAGGTCAGAAACTTACGGGCTACGAGAAAGCTAGTAGGCCGGCGAGTTAATAAAGACCAGAAATCTGTTCAGCCATTCAGTCTTAAACGCGGCTTACAGGCTAAACCTGATTCTCCACGCCACACTAAGCTTCGTGCCACGCTAAGCTTCGTATACACTAAGCATAATGGAATCCTGGAGCCGCCCACAATTCTAGCTTTTAATGCAATTATCGCTGTCGAAACTACCGCCATATATTACATCATCATTATTATCCTCATCGGAGGCGATGGCAGATGCGGCTTGAGCCGTGGGTCCGTGGAGTTTGCGTCCTAGTTAGATATAGACAGCGAATTGCATTACATTCTACAAAAGTCTCTGTAACGAGGTACACACTAAATTATACCATAAGAAAGCTAGCTGACTGAAGAAGTTACTCAGTTTCCTTGTTTCGTAGAGAAGTAACATGAAGGAATCTTATTGACCTGTAAAGGCAAAAGACAGGCCCTTTAATTATAAAGTATGGGCCCGGACTTAAATGGCAATAAAGGTCCTATAGCGGACAACTAGGGACCACTGTCTCATAGAGAGCTAGCCTTATGTTACATAGCATCTACACTCAGAATCTTTATCCGCGGAAGCAGATGCTATAATCCGTATATTAAGGTCGAGCGTCTATATACGTTATACTTTAATTGCGCTAAGGTTAAAGCTCAAACACTAGTTGCATATAACTATACGCCAGCTTTAAATCTTTAATTGCAGGGACTCTACACCACGAAGCAAATCTTTCCTTTATATAAAGAGTAGCGTACTATCGTATACTTATAGATAGCTCTTTAAGGTAATTCTCAATAATTACTACGATACTAGCTATAATCCCCGTCGAGCTAATTGTCCCCCTCTGAGTTAAGCTAGGGCTAAGGCCAATCCGCGCCCACCCTCGCCCACCCGGTAATAATGATAATAATATCCAATGAACTAGCAGTTTCGCCAGATGTTCAAGAAGGTCCTCTCCCGGGGTACGGGGGACACAGGGAAGGTTAGAGAAGGCGGAAGACCCTTAGAGCTAAGGTATAAAACCCTCCTAATAGGGAGTCGACCACTGCTAGCGAGAGGCCCGCGGATTTCACGAGTCCCTGCCTTACCCGGCCTTAACCGTCGCCAGCGGCCGGCCTCCGATCTCAACTTGTCAGTTATTTATGATTAAGAGCCGTCGTCTAACTCTCGAGAATGCCTCGCCGATATGTCACTAAATGAAGCGAGTTTACGTAAGAGTCACTGTATTACATACGGAGGAAACCTGTCAGCCAAGAATTCTTTATTTCTATCTAGGGATAGGATATAGTCGATGTTTTATATACGTATCGGCGAGGCAGTAGCCTAGGTTAACCGTAAGCATTTGAGACGTCGTATACAGATACTAGTTTGCTGAAGCTATATCCCATTTTGCGGCAACCTTTTTATACGATAGTAATGCCTCCTCTATCGCGACATCCCGGACCGGGGCCCTTCCTAGCTTCAAAGCCGATCGCATCCTGAAATCTACCCGCCGGTCATTTCAGCTTCCCTACACAGCCGTCAGAGCCCGTTCTAAGATCTGGGTTTCGTTATTAGCGGTAGAGCGGAGCCTGTTACATGTTTATAAGACCCTGACCTCATTAAAAACCCTTGGATATTATAATCGTGAAATTATCCGACTGAGGAGAGGATAGCTACCCGTCAAATGAAAATCGTCTCCATCTGCGCATCGATACCTATAATTCCCATCTTAGGTAGTTCCGCCGCCCATTCTAGTTCGTTCAGCTAGGCTCAGCGTAGCAATAGCCTTCTCTTAGAGGTTGCGGGGAACGGCCGAGTTTAGTGACCGTCCGGCGGTCGAACTGCCGAATAGGTACTGCTGAAAAGCAAAGACGCTCTAGACTAGGATACCTGGGATGGATCTCGAGACCTATATTCACGGATAGTACTTTAGTTAAGTCATAACTATAGCGAAAGTTATATTTCAAGCGCACTATATCGCGACGGCAACGAACGCCACCGAACTTCCTAATCGTACGGAAGCTAAATAACTCTAGGCGAAGCGATAGCTAATGATATAGCTCAAGCCTTAAAACTATGCGGCGAATGCGCCAGGCCCTATATACGGTCTAGCAATAGTCTACTACGCGCGCTTTATTAGCATCGGCAGCAGATATATATCCTCCAGGGATGCCACTACATCGGACAAGACCAGCTCAGAATTCTATAGCCACTTATACTTATGCTAGAACTTGCCGCCCGCGGGGTTAGCTAAAGCTACCTAATAGCCTATCTCGATCTAAAGGGCGTAAAGACTGCCGCTAATCCAGTTATGTAGATTAACCTCTAGATAGGCCCCTAAAACTAAATCGAGGATAACGGCCGGGAAATAACTAAGAACTTAGACACGCTATTATTCCCACTCAAGGAAATCGCCCCGAATTTATTCATCCTCTACTAGATCTTGCCCACCGCCCGCACTTTCGATAGGGTGCTCTATGGCACTAGGCGCGTCATGGATGGACATAAAGCGGCTAGCTAGCAGGTTCTACGGACTCGTCAGGGGAATAAGGGTAATATCCCGCACCTAATAGATACACCTCTACGGACCGTCTCCGTGGCTCCTCTCGCTAGCATAGAAGCGGAGTACGCGACGCTTCAATCCGATCGGATCTAACGCCTTGGTTTCGTTAGAAGTAACGCCGATCTCGAGACAACTAGCCTTATCAGGCCACTAGCAGAGTTCTAAAAGTCTGGGGGGTTACCTATAACGGAGATATTTAACGAAGCGACTGCGGAACTAATGTCGAGGCCTTACTATAGCTATATTGACCGTTATAGGCGTCTGCGAAGCTTCTCTATAGAAGCCACTAAGTGGGATTACTACGATATCACGTACCGTCTGGACGAAACCACTAAGCACCTAGGCCGGGATGTCGTTCGTGACGCCTTAGCCCGTGCGTACGCTATATGGGCACGAGTAACACCGTTAAAGTTTACCGAAACTAAAGTTCTGACCCCTATACCTAAGGGCCCGGCTGATATCCGCGTCCGCTTTACCAGTAGCGACTATAGCGACGGATTAGCGCTACTCTTAATTCAATCAAGTCAATTCTAGGGGGTCTCGATTAGATAATTAATATATCGCTCGGCCTCAGCTTAATTAACTTAGCTAGATTGATTTAACTTAAGAGTGCATCCTAGCTAAGGTACGTTTATAGTCTATCCTATACTACTCCTCGCTAATTACTCCGCGATTATTATAGAGTCTACTTAATATAACTATATCCTATCGAACTTAGTTCTTAAGACATTAAACTTTCTCTAGCGTTAATAGCTCTATTAAGAGCCGCTAACTTATTAAAGTAAGCTTAGTAAGACTAAAGGCTCTCTCGTAATTAGCGGCTATCGCTAGAATAGCGAAGACATCTAGAGCTAGTTAACTTAGCGTTAGGAATAATAATCTATAGTCTATCTATTATTAAATAGGGTCGTCTATTAGTATAGGTAGCTTAAGGCGAAAATATCGCTTAAGCTCTATACTCTCATCTATAAGTTATTCCGTCTTACTATTAAGCTACTACTTATATACAGACTCTTCCTGCCTTAAGCTAGTAAAATAGTTAATATAGTATAAGATCGCTAGATAATTTAATAACCCCTCTACGCTAGGTTCTACGCTATTATCGCGGTACTAAGCCATCTAAAACCTCTCTAGGCTATCCTTTACATTATAAAGCTAGCCTTATTACTTATCGCTACTCTAGCGATCTTTAAGCTAGCGGATACTATATCCTAGATAAAGAATTACTATAGCGGTAAATACCGGTAAACTGCCTAGCTTAATATAATACTTATTTAGCTTTTACTAAGCGTTAGTTATAGAAAGACGAATATAATATTTCGAGTCCTCGCGGAGCTAGGTAAGTCAGTCGGCTTAGCTTAATATAAAGTCGGCTCTTATATAGAGTAGAAGGTAGTCTATCGATAGTTCCTTTACACCCTTTATCGGGGCAGTCTATATTACTTAAGGCCCTTTCCGCTAGCTTAACCTATCGTAGAGTTAAAGAGCCCGGTATTACTCGATCGCCTTACTAGCCGGATTATTAAAGTAGGCTTTCTAGTCCTCTAGTTAATTAAGAAGATATTTTATTCTAGTCATTATCTCCTAGACGTATCTATAGCTTCCTCTCTAGCCCTAGCCTTAATATCTTATCGTTTAGAAGTAAAGTAGGGCAAGGATCTCCTTAAGCTTAATGAGAAGACGCTAGTCTTCGGGATATAGAATGTCTTTAGCGAGCAGCCGCTTTAATATATCTTCCTCTATTTAGTTCTCTATTAAGAAGGTCTAGAGATATCCTTACTTCCTAAGCGCTCTTTCGATCATTAAGTATATAGAGTTCTACTAAGTCTCATTACTAAGGATTAGCTATAACTCTCTACTTAATTCTTAGTAGATTAGCTAGGCGTCTTGATTATCGGCTTTACTAGCTAGTATCTAGAATCGCTCGCTTCGTTAAGGCGACGCTTAAATGAACTTAATGATATTATGCAGCCTACCGACAGGGCTACGATATCTCCAGTATCGTAAGTCGTCTTCAATAAGGTCGGCGTCAAGTAGACGCTAACTTTCTTACTCGAAAGTCTCGCTGTCTTCGCTATATAGGAAAGCTCTACCGATAAGGTTAAGTATATAGCTATAATATCTTATGCGCCACTTAACACGGTCGCCCTACGTTAAAGCAGGTTTAATAGCGCGGAAGAAGTAATCCGTATAGGTATTATTATTCGTCGCATTATTAGAAACTAAAGTTCGGATTATATCTTCGATCTACCAGTCTTCCACGACCCTCCGAAGGGTATATGCGATATTCTTACTAGCATAAGGCCTAGGCTAGCGAGTAAGCGCTAGCAGCCGTTACTATTGACGCCCTTCCTTATCGAGAAAGTGTCTTAATATAGCGATAATTGCATATCGATTCGGGGACGTCTAAAGGTTAAAGGTAATATATATTTTCGTTATGGCTTTACGTAATGACTGTTACACGAGGCACTTTTTGCTATTAAACACTACCTCGAGCTGCCTTCGCTAGCTGCTCCGGGACCATGGAATTTATGAAAACAGGTCTTGATTAAACTGCTATAAGAGTTCTCGGAGATAACGGTCGTCGAAGACGCCGAAAGGTTAGTCCGTATTAACGATAAAGCTATAGGCGAGCTCTTATACCTTCGTCGATTATATCTTCGGTATTAAGGAGGTCCTCGGTCGCTTATAAGGCTAAGCATCCTTATAATCGGAGCTGGTTAATAGCCTATCGGGGGGGAATATTCGGTGCCTATTTTAGAGATAGCTTATAGCACTAGAGGTTACGTTCGTACTATATACTATCTCGAGTTTGCGTCGCTTATCGTAGATACTGCAAACCTATAGCCTTTTGGCTAAGCTATGGTCAGTACGTTATATTACATAATGATGATTAGGTCTAATACCAGACGCATTGCCTCTCTTGATTTCCCTTATAAAGACTCTATGATCTTTTATCTAAGTCTTTAGCGCCCGCGAACCCTTCTTCCAGAGAAGCTTATCTTAGACGAATCGTCGACCCCGCCAGGTCGCAATAGGCAGGCCGTCGAAGCTATCGGATGTCGATGAATTACTGGACGTATTGAATTGAGCGGCTAGGCTAGCTATACGACGAGATCTAAAAATCGTTAACGCTATCGGAAAGCTAAAAGAATATACTCGGGGGCGTAGATCGTAACGACGCGTTCTTACGTAGGTGGGAGGATCACGAGTAGCGGTGAGCGTAATACGCGTCGGGCGCAATAATCCCTTCCTAGCTTACGCGATAGAGCTACCCTATAGCATAAAGGGGAGAACAGGGCTAATCTAAATATAGTAGTATTTATCTTCCTTACTTCTTATTTGAGTTAAATCCCTGATTCTAATTAGCTATTAGGTATATTACATAATCAAGGATTTATATTAATTGGATTTAATCGAAGAGGTTTAGAAGATTGATTAATTGACTGGGAGATGTGAGCTCGACTTGATTGAAACTTGACTTCCTTGATTGGTATGGATTGATTGGTGGGTAGCGCTACGACGGATACCCATTTGATAGCGGCCCTAAGCCCGGCGAAGATAACGTCCTAGCTTATGCGTTCGCCCCAGGGAACGGAGACGATAGCCTTACTAGCGACGTTTATTTCGACGAAGATGAGGCTTAGACTTAGAACTTCTTGCTTAAGGTTGTTATCTACGAAATTGGACATGCTATCGGCTTAGACCACTCTGCCGACAGTAAAGCCGTTATATATAAATACTTTAATGACGAGGGGGATTTATAGCCGGATGATATATCAGCCGTTCAGAGTTTGTATAGGGCCTCTACCGTCTAGCTCCTAGTAAGATGTCTGTATCAGATACTTCTCAATATTCGATGGATCTCTTAACGAGACGCTATATGTGCCGGGCGGACGCTTAACCCCGCCTTATATAACACGACCGGCTGTTATAGGGCCCCCGGAAATGAGACTTGTGTCGCCGATATCTGAGCTGAGACTTGTGCGCCGGTTTCGCTTGTGGCCGTGTTAGACTTCGTGAGATTTAAATCCACGGCAAATCGCGGCACCGCAGCGGTTACCAATAATATGCAATAATATAAATAGCTTCAATCAATTCAAAATCGTATACTGCTTTGCTCTGGACAGTTTTCTTCGTTCGTTCTATAGAGATGGGCTTTTCTTGCGCGATCAAGGCTCGAGCAACTTACCCCGAACCAAATAGCGGGCAGCGCTAAGCCAATTCGCGCGCTAATAAACCGTCGAACCTAGCCTGCACTTAGGCGAAATCTAGAGCGACCCGAAAACGGACCGTGCTTCCCGTAGATTGCTTATTATATGAAATTTCCTACTCACGCAATCGCTTCCTCTTGAGCTTGTCAGGGCCTGGAACTATAGCAGTAAATGACCGCTCTTCGCTACGGCCGCGGAAGCAGTCGTCTAGGAAGACCATGACTATCGCAATTCCCAATAGCGTTCATTAACTCTACAATTATCGTATGGAGGAGGCGGCGGATCCTTGGCTTCGAGAAGTACACGCGAGAAGCCTCAGCACTCTAGGTCTGGGCTCGAGAGACATCTGGAACATCGTTCCACACGGAAGCATAATTCTTTCAGCCAGCCTTGGTATTCGAGTTGGCATTCGTACCTCTCCACATATGGGATTAGGGGGTAGGGGGAAGTGCGGCACTGAATACTGACGGCCGATTTTAGTTAGACGATTGAAACAGTGATCTGAAATTGCGGAACTCAAACTCATGCGGCGTCATGACGAGGGGTGAATAATGGGTCTTAAGCTTACACCAGATGTGCGGAATGGCAAATTCCACCACCTTGCTGAATGTCGGGGTTCGACGGAGTCGATGTGCTGGTGCAACGTTGAGCACGTGTGCGACTACGGTATCCTGGGTATTTGGGACAAGACAGGGATTCATGAGCCTCGAATTGTCATGAACTGATCTGTTCAATGAGACTAGAGGAGTATCGGTTGGTCACGTTACGCTGTTCCGCGTGAGGTCTGGGTGCGTTGGCATCGTTCATTGTTCCCAATAGACGTCATTTGAACCATGTCGGAAGATATCACTCCAATAAAATGCCAGGCAGCCGTACGTAGCACAGAAAGAATTGCTAAATCACAACGGTATAGCGTGCTGATACCAGTGTAGGATGCCTCTTCCTACAATCAATGGAACCTTCCCTCGTGTTCGGGACGGAAGTTCTGTGGCGCACCAGCCTTATCACTATTTCTTGAGCCGCTCTGACAAATCGATATTCGAAACGTGCTAAAATACGTAAGAGCACTGAGAGGTTATTGTCACACTAGTAAGAGCCTCGCACTTGTTATTTGTGGCTGTAGTTCTGAAATCTCGGACCACAGTCGCCGTAGCGGGCCAATACAACAAGATAGGAGCTTTCCAATGCAACATTCGTTTCAAAAGACAAATGACGCCGAGCCTGCGACCAAAAGCCATTTGCCGGCAAGTACCTTGATTGCCACCGCTTTCTGTGCGGCCTTTGTGGCACTAAGTTCCATGCTGCCGTCTTTCCGATCTCTCCTTCTTCCGTATATCCTATCCAGAGGCAAGCCCGAGCAAGCCCGCCTCGTCTCCATTAAAAATATCCGAGTCACCACCGTACACGTACCTATCCGAATTCTGCCAGATTGTATACGAAGCCCACCCTCCCGGGACCAGCCCCGGTGATGGAGCATACCTCGCCAGAACCAGCGGGCTGTAGCCAGAAAATCCGCTGTAGTCCCCGGTACAAGTATTCCACCAGTTGTTTGTAGTGTATATCATCGGAAACCTCCCAGTGCTACCTGAATAGGTATCGACAAAGTCTACAATCCAGTTGACCATGTCCGACTGGGACAATCCGTAGCACTGACTGCCTGAGGGGTTATTCTCGAGGTCCAGCATTCCGGGAAGAGTCATCCCGTCTGCTACCCAGGTTCCACCGTTGGCAAGGAAAAAGTCTGCTTGCTGGCTCCCAGAGCTAGAACTGGGCCGCGCGAAATGATATGCACCGTGGACAAATCCGGCATTAACAGCATCATCAGTGTGGCCCTGAAATTTGGGGTCGATAAATGTGCCGCCTTCCGTGGCCTGCGGGATTTTGATCAGTATCAACACTACTACGTGGGCAAGGTCTCGGTGAAAGTAGCTGAACGTGGTGCACGAACCTTGACGATAACAAAGCGGGCACCGCTTCCATACGCAGCTAGAAAATCGACATTGGTCTGGTAGTGAGAAATATCAAAGCCCTGCACGGTGGAAATTGGACCTTGGAGCTGCCCAGGACGCATGTAACGCATTGGTAAATATCTAAGCAGGCCCATCACGGTCTGGGACACCACGAAGATATGATCGAATCCGTACATTGTGAGTGTGGCGACGCGAAATTAAGCCGAGGCCCGGCCGATGGCAGCGATATATCAAGTAAAAGGAAATACCGAAACCAAGAACACTCATAATCGTTGGGTCTCAACCATATAAGATTAGAGCCGGTGGTCCGCTTCAAAATGCGGAAGTAGTAGTGATGGTTCGGGCTAACTTCTGCGGGTGATACTTCACCCCATGTTTGGCGCCATAAAGGTAAAAGTGACATCAGTGGGAAATGCAACAGTACGATGACGGCAGACGTTCACAAGTCGTTCTTTGGTGTCCGCTTAAACCTACGCTGTCATAAAACATGCGCCACCTTAGCTGCGGGATCCTCAAGATCTCATTGGATACCTCTAGTGTCACCGTGCCATAGGTGGCGGCAGTTTGACGCCAAATACTAGACCTTCCAGATGACCAGCCCGCGGAAAACAGGGTTGCAAATAAGCGCTGAAATAAGTTGCCGATTTTCTGCGTAAGGAATATGTCGAGGACGATTCCGTAAAAGAACGTCTTAACCGGGCAAGCCGCCTGAGTTAGAACTATGATATATTCGCTTTATCTGGCTATTCTGCTATTTATTTAGGCAATTTCTATAATGACCGTCAATTGTCCCAGCAGCCAGCTAACGAGACATTCACAACCCCCTTCTCGCTATTCTACCCGTTTTCAGAAGCGACACCAGACCCTTCGCGACCTGCATTCTGAACAGCTATATTCCACGTTTGCTTTGCTTCGCTATTGGCAATGCACAAGCGACAGTCCCCAGTATTACAATCGAAATTCGACAAGGCAGAGCCGAAGACACTGAGCTTTTCCGGCCATGCCGCCCGTGCAGGCTCCTGTAAAGCAGGCTGCCGTTCAGGCGAGCTCTGCAAGCCTGCATCTTCTTTGCCAGATTGCTGGCAGGACTGTTTTACTCTTCGGATAGGCAAGAGGATGACTAAATAAATGACCTATAAGCTAGGCCTGAGACCTCTGCTGCTAGCTGCAAGTTACGCTGCCTGATTTAAAGGCAGGTTTGACTTTACGGTCGTCGCGCTGAACCCCAACCCTGCACCAGTTCACTCCCAACTAGGACGGATTGGTGCTATTGCAGAATCTGATTGATGGGAGCTCGTGGCCGCCTCACCGCCTTCTGAGCGACCAGGCCGTTCACTGGGCTGCTGTGTAACAAAATGGTGGGCGCCGTAGTTATAGCAATTGCATTCTCCAAAGGTACCATGAAGTATGTACCGTCGGTATGAAGCAGATTGGTGAATCAGATCGTCGAGTACCATCACATGCCCACGTGTGTCCCCATGACCATTGATGCGTACTTCTACACCGTACTTGACAGGCAGAACAGAGAACACTTCTGCGCAACTGAATGAACCATGCATCAGGTACCAAAGGGCTACAGAATCCAGTCCGACTAGGTGCCCATAGATTGGCCTAGAAGTGGCTCGTCTCTCATTTGTGTTTGACGACAGAAATTAACCCATGACGCCTTTACTTCAAGAGCATTGCCTCAACCTTGACTGGACGTGTTCGAGGACTCGGAAGGAATCCTTTTTTAGGGTGGGCTGGATCTGGCCCGATCCTAGGTGGAAACGGGTCATACTTGTCGTTGAAAAACAGGATGGTGCCCTCTTCGCCATTCCACGAGACACGCTCGTCGGGCCATGCCCATGATTGTCTCTCCTCAGAGTAGGGACCGGACTCAATTGACGGCCCGTTGGCGACCAGAACATTCCGGGACTCCACCCGTCCACCGGAAACACCCGGTATCGTCCTAATCTCTAGCGTGGGTGTGAGACGGTAGCGTTCGCCCGACTTCCAACCGAATGCACGGGCAATTTTCTCAACTTGCCGATGCGGCGATGCGCCGGCCATCACGGCGAAAGTTGCGCTCTCTATCGACTCACCTTCATGGTAAACTGTGACTTCGACAGGTACGGCCCACTCTGGGGAGAAGATGTCTCCGGCCGAAGGAGGAATGTCGTCAATGAAGTACCCTTCCTCGAGTATCCGACCTTCTCGATGCAGCTGTCCATTGCCGTCGCGTTTACCGAGCAGCCAGTCGCCGGTGTACGAGAACCCGCTCACGTATGTCATGGTGCCCACTCCGTGTGGACTCGCGTCTTTGAGGAAGCCAACATAGCGCGTCTTCGCGAGCTGATTGATGACAACCCCCCAGTGTTCGTGGTTCAGTGCCATCCAGCTCCGACGATTGAGGTCTTTCCGATATCCGTACATCAAGCAGGTCGGGCTCAGCGTCTCCCTGGCGGTGGCAAGAGCGTGCGAGATGGATCCCTTAGAGTTCTCCAGCTGCATAACAACCGTGTCCCTTAGTGGATCGGCGTATAGGGATAGATATTCGGTTGTGCCACTGCCGCCGGAGTTCGTATTCATCTGTTCCCGCCACTTGCGAACTTCATCCCCCAGCTCTCTATAGGCGCTCAGCAGACCGGAAATTTCGGCTGACACCGGAATCAAATTGACGATGATGCTATCCAGCTCACCCCTATTCATTAGTTCCTTGACCTTGTCGACGGTAGCAAGCGGGTAGTGATGTGCTGCCGCAGTGCGGTGGAGCCACAGCAGATTTTGCCAACCGGCGGTGTCCCTTTTCATCAGGTCCATTTCCATCTCATACTGCGGCTTGGCGGAGGTAAGGAAATCGGCCACGGTTGCACTTGCGTTCGTTTGTGTCCGGTAGTTTCTTAAGAAGTTGCCTAATTTTATGCGCGTGTCCACAAAGAGAACTTGAACGGTGTTCGACCGCAAGAGGCAAAGCTCGTGAAAGGAAGGGAACCAGTCCTTGTACGGTGGAGACGCATTATCGAGCTTGTCTTGAACTTCCAGGAGAAGAGACCTTCGGCGCCTGTCAAGTGTGGAGATGTCATCGTAAAACGTTCGTAGTGTAGCGAGATCAGTCTCGGCCAGCTCACGGAAGACGATCTCCGTGGAAAACTGATCGAAATATGACAGGGGTGTCATAACCAGATCGACGGGAACTCCAATTGTTTTATCTTTGCCCACATCGGCTACTTCGCTGGTGAAGTTGGGTAGCCCTTTTTCAATCTCCAAGATCATTTGCTCAGGTTTGACGGGAGGTCTTGACTCGTAGTCGACATAGTCCGCAACAAGACTGGTTGTAAAGGAGGCCGTTTGAAGGTACTTAACCTCCTCCTCCGTCAACGCTGCACTGCCTTCGGCGCCGGCCAGGCTGCCCAGACTCTGTAATACCTTGAGCGAGAAGTCTCCCTGAATATTCTGGTTCGACCTAGCCTGCGATCTAGTCTCCGAAAGGTTCCCAAGCAGGGTGCCTCCATAGGTAATACCACTAACAACGTGCGTTGCACCCATGCTCTTCAGCGCGTTGGAGTCAACGAGCACAGCATGCATAATGCCATTGTCAGCCAGGTCGAGCCTCTTGTGCACCGTCCGGCAACGTACAACGCCGGAGATAGTGGTAGAGTCCTCATCAGTATCCGAGCTGTCCAGGTACTTTCCGGCGCCCTTGAGTTCCACTGACCCGCCCAAGATGGAAAGCGAGACAGAGGCGCTCACTCTTAGGAGATGTGCCCTTTTCTGGCTGTTCCGAACTTCCGAAAATGACATATCAGTCATAGGCATTGGCTCTGAGACTGTCGCAGCTTCCAGGGCATGCTCCGGAAAGAGTGACACGTTAATCAGCGTACCAGTGGAAGCGGAGTATAGCTGGCCAAGAAATGCGGAGCGGCCCAATGCCTGTACCTCGACCTCCTCTGCAGACATATTTTTTAATGCGCCAAGTAGTGGTATGAAATGTAGAGCCAGACTGTTTCGTTCAATTGATGCTGTGTGTAACAGGTCTCAGAGACCTGTGATCTGAGTCGGCGCGCCTGATACCACGGGGCTTTATTGAATATCACCCCCAGGTACCGTAACGTAAGCATAGGCGCAACATGGGGATTTTTAGATGAGCTTTAAGCTGTCTACCCGCCACCATATCGGATGTATGTCAGGCGTGGCTATTTTATTTTGCAATCCTGTCGCCACATAAAGTCATCTAAATTTTGGACTTTCCAATAAGGGTGTTTCATGCCAGATTCCGTGAAGATACGCACACTTATACGTTAGTACCTAGAAGGACATCACCTGCCATCCAGTGATGTGGGCCTAGGCGTCGATCTAGATTTTCAGCCCAAGCGCGACATACTGGTAGCACAGCCTAGGCGCGATGTAGGATTTTTGGGTGAGTTTTTCAGCTGTCTACCCGCCTCCATATCGAATGTTAGTAGGTAGTGTGCCGCTATTTCAATTTACAATCCTGTTGCTACATTAAAGTCATCTAAATTGTGGGCTTCATAATAGAGTTTAATGCCAGGTTAGTATCATGTGAGGACAGTCGCCTGCCGTCCATTAATGTGAGTCTAGATGTCGGTCTAGATTTTCAGGCCCGGCGTGGCGCGGCTGGATTGCGACTTAGCCGAACGTTCGTCCAAGCGCCTGTGCCACCTCGAAAGCGACAAGCTGAGGCCGCTAGTAGTGCAGACCGTAGCAAGGGGAAACGGCTGATAATTTCCCACCCGCTTTAGATCCGAGAATATCACTAGCCCCGCAGCACAAAACGAGGAGCTGCGCTGCGGTTGAGGGTTTGGGGTTGCGGGATGTATATTTCTATAGCCTCGCTCTCGTCTGCCGTTGCACCCCTTCTCGAATTTCAAATTCTTCCTTTCAACCATATCAATCTGAGATCATCCACAACGTTGACTGCCTCAAGTTCGCAAATTCAATCACTACCAGGTCAACCCTATTATGGCGGCAATAGATGCCGAGCTTGAGGTCGATGCCATTGGTCGCGCAAGCTTTTTGGGCCAGACGTATAATGCTCGGTCGGGGAAACTCCTCAACTTCCCGTTGTTTCCGCGGGATGTTATTGAGGCTGCGACGAGACCAGGGAACCTCTCCAATACTGTTAGCACGTATCAAGAGGTCCGAGAGTCAGAAAACCGGACTTCCCTGCTGAACGTGTCTGCGTCTGTTGCGCTGTCTCTGCTCGGCGGCGCACTGAACGCCAAGGGATCTGCTGCATATATCGACCGATCTGACAGTGCTGAGGCATCCTTAGCCATTTCGGGTATTAGGGGTATCACCGCAGATCGCCCGCGCCTGGAGGTTCTCGATCAGGGACTGCAATCTTCAGTTATATTGACACCCGAAAAAGTCCAACAACTCGGGGCCACCCACGTCGTTACAGCCATATGTTACGGGGCCTCCATGATCGGAAGTCTGTCTCAGACCAACTACGATTTGCAAAAGAGTACCGGCGTTGAAGGGCGGCTGACGCTCAAGATGCTGCAAAGTTTCGGAGCCTTCACTGGGGCTGGGGGCGACGCCGACGTTTCCGACTCAAACAGGGAGAAAATCAGTCGTTACGAGTTGGAGATCCACTTAGTCGGAGATTTCCTGGGTGGCATGGTTCCTGTCAATCCGGTAGCGCTATCCATGAAGTTGGCGGAGCCTGCGAAGGTGCTCCGTGTTCAAGTTCCTGTTAAGTTGACATTATCACCGCTGAGCTTTTTCAAGGGAATATCCGCGGAGATTTTCTCGCGCGATCTTGAGGAGGCACAGCTTCTCTCTCTCATGAAAATCTACGACGAAATGGTTACTCTTACTCAGAATTGGAACTATCTTGTCGGCAATATCGCGCAGCACGGCGACAGTCGGTTGTTTCCTACACTACAACAAACATGCGATGAAGGGGAAAGAAAGGCCGAGCATACCCTCATCGAATACCGGGGTGCTCTTGGCACTTTCCTCCGTGACTACAGAGGAATGGCTGGGTCGAATGGCGAAGAGGCAACGAAAGCTTTTACGGAGGAGCAATGGCTGCCGACACTTCGCAAAGAAAAAAGCGCATATGACAATGCCTTCAGTACCTGGATGGATTTGGGCCTCCTAAAAAAATACGCAATCTCTGGAGAATTTCCACTGGCTACGGTTGACGAACTCGCCACAATGGTGGGCGACGACAAGAGGTCGCCAGTGGCAGTGGTTTTGGTGCCTCCCGGGAACCTCACTACCGAGTTACTCAACACTTACGACGGTCTGGCGGAGGCTGTCAGAAGCGAAAGACCTAAAGGCACTGAAATTAAACTCTGCACTTTTTATGCCGATGACCTGGTGGTTTCTGATCTACTGTTACTCGACGGTCCCAGCCAGTCTATACAGCGGTGTGTCCAATACAGCGTGTCGACGTCAGTCGCTTCGATACTCACACACGGACTCTCAGTGAGCGGCTACACGCTTGTGGACTGGTGTACGGCTCTCCAAAAGGGTTGGGGCGTTTACTATAGTCCAGGATCCAACGCCAAGTATATTGGTGATCTCGTTGACGGGTTACCGCACGGCAAGGGCCGCATGACATATTCCGATGGCAGGGTTTACGAAGGGTCGTGGTTCCGCGGCGACTGGGATGGACCCGGCAATCTTACGAAAGGTGACACTATATTGCAGTCTGGAATATTCGTCAACAGCAAGGTGGAAGATCGAGCCGTCATGATCAACGTAACAGTCTATGACGGCGATGTGCCAGTGGACTCAGCGACCATTGCGGTCATCTGCCACCAGATCACGCCGCCACGGCAGCAGCCAATTCCCGAAATGAAAACGCTGATTCCAGCTCAGCTGCAGAAAATTTCCAATGCTCTGGGGTGGCAACATGGACAGCGCTTCCGCCTGCACACAACATGGGAAGCCCCGAAGTATATATCATGGCCAGACTCCTCAGAAAGGCCCTTTTCAGACCCTACCTGGGAGTTGTATCCGGATGAACCGATACCAAATCATTTCAGCAAGGAGAAGTCCTCAACTAGTGTCATTGCCAACGGCTCCGAGCTGGAGTCGTTCGAATACGATGATAACCAGCTCATGCTCGGTAATTTTGGATGGTACCTGTTTAATTACAATACCTTATGGCTGGACGGGGATGTTTTCTATCAGGGGGTTGAGCAAGGGGAGACGTTTGCACATGAAATTCAACGGAACATTCGAGAAATAAACGACGTCGTACAGGTGGATGCAGTCAGGTTGCCATCCTAAATTTTCGATTTCCTACAGTAGGAGTTTCTGGTAGTAGATATGGTTAGCTGTCTGCTCGCTAATAAGAACGTCATGCCTTTCGTTTCACCTTCTAATTCCTAGCATGCCAGGCTCCCTACCTTCCTGCCAGAAAGGCCATTCTAGCTAGGCCTAGTGTCCGGGCAGCTTAGCGCTTATTATAGATTAACTTAATTAATTAATCACCCTAATCGAGTTAATTAACGTAGCTAATTCTTTACTTTAATGAAATTAAATATTCTTTTTTTCGATTTAATATAAGTAAGTAAAGTTAGTATATATTTTTATATAGGAACTTACCTAGACGATATAATATAATATAATATAATATTATTTAATGTCTGGGAAGCTATTAAGCTAAAGCCCCTATTAGGGTAAAGGACGTATTAAGTTAATAAGAGTCTATCTATAATTAATATTAGCTTTAAAAACCGCTATACTTTAATACGATATAATATAATAATTATTTAACGTCCGGGAGCTATAATAATAGTAGAAAGCCCTTATTAAAGTAAAGGATATATTAAGCTTATAATAACTAGCTAGACTTAGAGCCTTAATAGCTATATAATATATATATAATGGCTAGCCCGCTAAAGTATACCTTTAACGAGTTATTAATAAAATACTATATAGACCTTTAAGCTTTAGTCTCTAACTTATAGTAATAATAATAATAGCTATTAGATTATATAATTATTACTTCTTTTACTTAATTAATCTATAAGACTTATTATTATTATAATTCTTAAAGCTTTTATTATAGTTACCTAAAAGTAATAATAGCGTTATTAAGACTATATAGAGGTATTAATATATTATTAAGAAATAACCTTCTTAAAGAGTTAATAAATAACTTAATATAAATCTTAAGTATATCTTTAATTAACTTAAATTCTACCTTAAAGGATATCCTTATCGAAAAATAAGCTTAAGTAGTCTAGGCTTATATTAAATAGCTTAAAGAGCTCTAAGCTCTTTAAGTAAGAAAAAAGGAATTATATAAGTCTCTAGCTTAAATAAGCTATATTAATATTATATTATAAAAATAAAAGTAAGGTACTTTTAATTTATTAAGTAATAATAATAAAAGTAATAAAGTAAAGGTTATAAACTTCTTAGAGTTAAGGTATTTAATTAATTTATAGTAATAATAAAATTAATTATAAAATATTAAATAAGTATTTATAAAGGTATTATATAAATTCTATAAAGATAAAAAGAAGATTATTTTTGCCTTTAATTATATATATTATAAAGGAAAGGTAAGATAGGATTAATATCTTAATAAATAATTAATAACTTAATAAAAATAAATTAAGGCTATTTTCGAGGAATAGATTTATATACTCCTTTAAGACTTTATTAACTATAAGGTAATCCTTATAGCTTAAAGGTAAAATATAATATAATAAGAAAATTAATCCTTTATAGACTTTAATATTTACTTAAATTCTATAGAGAAATACTTTAAATATATTAATAAAATAGACTATACTTTTACTTTCTTTAAGAAATTATAACTTAAGTTATAATATTAAATTAACCTATAGATATTTATTAAAAATAAGATATATAAATTAGTTATTTAAATTATATAATAAGTCTAAGACTTAATAGACTATAAGACTAAAAAGAGAGATATAAGCTTATAAGAAAGTAAATAATCTATTAAGCGAAAATATAATAATAAAGGATTAAATAGTTAATAAAGTAATAAGTTATCTACCTTAACTATAAAAGTAAATACTACTTTAATATCTTTATTAATAAAAGATAAATTATATTACTTTAATTATAGAAAGGAAAGATACTTTTAGAAAGCTTATTTATAATTATATAAAGAGAGAAATAGCTTTAAGTTATTAAAAAACTCTTAGAAGTTAAAGTAAATATTTATACCTTAATAGCTATACCTTAAATAAAGGCAATAAGATACTTAACTATATTAATAATAATATAATTTTAATATAAAGTCTTAATTAATATAAACCTTAATATATATTTAAAAATAGACTTAATTAATATTACCTTTATATAAAAATAATAGCTATAATAACTCTTAAGTAAAGCTTATAGGCTAAGAGCGCTAAAAGGATTATATATTCTTTAATAAAGTATCTAAGAAGTCTTATTAACTATAATAAATAATAAAAAATAAATATATAAGATAATTTATTAATATATTGCTATTAATAAAGACTTATAATTAAATAAGTACTTTATCTTATTAAGTATATTTATATTAATAAAGTATTAAGTTTATTTAACCTTTATTGATTAATAATAATAATTTAAATATTAATAGATTAATATAAAAGTCTTAAAGATATAAAAGTTCCTTTAAGTATACTATAATTTAATATAAGTATATATAATAATATAAAATAAAGACTTTATACCTTTATTATTAAAGGACAATAATAAAGATATAATAAATTTAAAGCGATTTATTATTAATTTACTTAAAGAGATTATATATATAAAAGATATATTTAATATTATTAATATAAATATATTATTATAATATAAAGAGATAAATTATATAATTAATCTTCTCTTAAATACTATCTTATTATATAGACTATTATATCCTTTATTATAAATTAAATTAAAGGAACTATAGCGATACTTTAATAATAACTTAGCGAAAGGCTAGATATATTATTTAAAGAGCCTAGTTAATATATTTATCCTTTTTATATTTAAGAAAGATAATACTCTCTAGCTATATATAAATTATTATAGCTTTAATTATATATTAATAAAGAATCTCTATATACTTCCCTTTATATTAGAAATTATAAACTATTATAAAAGAGCTTAATACTTTATAAAAATTAATATTAAAGATACTTACTATAAGATCTATATCTATAAAGGTAATAAATAAAAGACTATATTCTATACTTATTATAATTACTTTAAGTATTTAATTATACCCTTTAGGTTAATAAATACCTTTATTATATTTTAGAATTATATCTATTTAATATTATAAAGATTAATAAATATAATTTATATTATATATTTAAATAATATTTTTATTTTCTTAAAGATAAAAGAAGAATATATTAAATATATTCTATAAGTCTTAAAGTATATATATAATATAGAGCTATATATTAACTTTATAAAATATATATTTTATTAAAGCTTTATTAAGTTCTTTAAGTTTATTTTATTAAATATTAATATTTTAATAAATCTTTATTAAATATAAATAATTATAAATTAATAAGAGCTATAAATATTCTAAGAGATATAAGTTTTCTTTAGCTTTTATAATTTTTATTATAGGTTTATTTATTAATACTTAAAGATTATTACCCCTTTTATAGCCTTCTTAAAGGATAGCTAAAATAATAAGAAATTTAAGAGTATAAAGCTAAATATTAATAAAAAGGTAATATTTAAAGAGCTTAAATTAGCCTTTTAAAAAATACCTTTATTATAGTACTTTAACCCTTTATAGCTAATATATATAGAGATAGATATATCGAATTATATAATAGCTAAAATCTTATTTTAGCTAGATAAAAAAAGGTAATAATATTTTATTGCCTTTTAGTCTAAGAAATTTAAACTATAAAAGATTAATTATAATACTTTAAATAAAGAGATATTTATTATTATAGAATTATTTAAATATTAATAATATTATATTAAAGGAATAATAAATCTTATAAAAGTCTTATTAAATTATTATAACCTCTAAATATTTATAAACTAAATAAAGCTAAATAAGAAATAAATATAATAATATATAATATTAATGCCTTTTAACTTTATTATTAAATATAGGCCTAGAAAAAATAACCTTATAGATAAGCTATCTAAAAGACTTAATTATAAAGGCGAAATATTAATAAATACTTATTTATTACTTAATTTATAGAGATAGTTAATATTAATTAAAGAAGTAACTATAAGTATAATATATTATAAAAGATTAAGCGAAATACTTAATTAAAGATAATATTCCTTTATTTTAAGTAAAGGCTAGTAAACTTAAGTTAAGACTATATTAAAGGTATTAAGATTAAGTTATTAAATAAAAAAGAGTATTAAATAAAACCCTTTATTACCTTAAGTTAGAGTTAAGTATATAATAATAAGAGAAATAATCTATAAAGAATTAATAATAGATCTAAAGTAATTAATTAAGTATACTTAAAACTAAAATAAAAAGACTTATTAATAAATCGCTTTTATAACTTAAAGGTAAAGGGATATTAAAGATAGGACTTAATAAATAAGCTTAAATAACTTATTATATTATAATAAATATATTTATATATTAATAAAAGAGATTATTAAATAAGAATTCCTTAAAGTTTATTATAATAACCCCTTAATTAATTACTTTAAGGTATAATATATATTAAAGTTATTTTATAGAGTATTTTAATAGCTAAGGCTATTATAAGATATTAAATAATATATAAGATTATATATAATCTATTAAAGGGCTATATTAAAAAGATATTACCTTTATAGTAAGCTTAAATCGCTATTAATTCCTTAATGACTTTAAGTAAAGGTTATTATAGACTTTATTATAAGTTTACTAAAGGTAAAATAAAATTATTAAAACTATAATATTATTTTTATAGTTATAAATCGATATATAAAGTATTCTTTATTCCTTCTTTATTATATAAATATTAATATTACTTAATTTATAGAACTCTTTTATAATAAAATTAAACTTTAATTTAAAGTATTAAATAATATTATCTTTAATTAAAGACTTATCTTTATAAGTAAGTTTTAGTTATAGCTTTATTAAGTCTTAAAGATTAAATAACGCTTATCGATAGTATTTTACCCTTAAATTAATAAGTAAATAAAATAAATAAATTAAACCCTTAAGTATTACTTTTATTACTTTATTATAATAAATTAAGTTAATTAAATATAATTACTTAAATAAGCTTAATTTATTTATAATAATACTATTAATATAATAATAAGACTTTCGCTAAATTAAGCGCTTATAAGTTATAAATTAGCGATTTATTTCTACCTTAAGGATATAGCGCTAAAAAAAGAGATATTTAATACTTAAGCTAGACTCTAAAAGCTAGTTATATTATATAAGTAATTATAAGATTATTAATAATAAATAAGTAAATTATAAGTAAAATATTATAATAAAAAGTATTAAGAATTATCCCTTAAGGTTAATAACCTTATTAAACTCTTAATATAAAACTTATAGCTTAAAGGTAAAAAGAAAAAGCTTTTACTTAAATATATTAGCTTATTTTATCTTCTTTAATAAATTAATTTATAAATATATTATTTAACGCTCTTTAAGAAATATATATATATCTATAATATATTTTATATTAATTTATTAAAGCTATAAATTATAAGATTTAAGGAATAAAATATTAATAAAATTATATTAATATTTAATTTAAAGGATAATAATAAATAAAAAGTAAAGGAAATTAAAGAATATTACTATAAATAAGGTATTTTAGCTTACTTTATTAAATAGAAAGGATAGCCTATAAAATATAATTAATAAATTATAATAGTTAATATAGAAAACGCCTTAAACTTAATTATAATATATTATAAAAGTATTAAAGAATAAATAACTTAATAATAAAAAGTTAATTAATTATAAATAATATATAAAGAGCTTTTTATTATACTTATAAATAATAAATAAAAGAAAAAATAAGCTATAAAGGCTAAAGTTATTAAAGGGGTAAAACTTAAAGGCCCTTTAGCTAAAATATACTTTAATACCTAAGAATAATTACTTAATAAAAGTAAATTAACTTATTAATAAATTATTAACTATATATACTTAAACCTTTAGCTTAAGTATAAGAAAAATATTTATAATATTATAAAAGAGATCTTCTTTAATTTTATTATATAAGAATAATAACTTAACTTATTAATAATATATTAATAAAGTAATATTTTAGTTAAAGAAATATTTATCTTTTACTATAAGATAAAGAACTATCTTTATCTTTTATTTAAATTAAGCCTTACTTAATTAAGAAAATTATTAATAAGGTATTAATAAATCGCTAGTAATATAAAGACTTATTATAAAAAAGGATAAAAAAAAGTAATAATATAATAATAATACTTAATATAAATTAATAAGCTTTTTATATTTCGCTATTAACTTAATAATATTTTTCTTAATACCTATAAAGTAATACTTAAAGTAATAAGCTTATTTAATATTATTAAAAGTAATAATAATTTAATATATAAGCTTAATAAATTATTAATAAACTTTTAATAAAAAAATAAAGTCTTTAAACTTATTTATATATATTTTAGCGATATCTTAAATCTAAAAATAGATAATATTATAGTTATTATAGTTATTTATATAAAAAGTAAAATACTATAAGTTATTAATATTATATTAATAAATTATTAATAAATAACTAGCAATAAAAAAGTAAACTTATTAAAATATAAGAATTTTTATATAAAGAAAAAGAATATTATTAATAATAATAAACCTTAGAAATATCTTAAATATAATTAAGATAATTAAATAACTTAAGAATAATTTACTCTTTATAAAACTAATTATTATAAGTATAGAAATAATATATATATTAATCTTAGATAGAAATAATTAAAGTCTCTTAAGATTTAAGTACTATAATATAATAATAAAGAGGACTATAAGCTAAAGGATATAAGGTATAAAAGTAAATAAGTCTTAAATCGTTAATAAAAATCTCGTTAAAAGGAATATCCTCTTTCTTAAGGTTAGAATAACCTTTATTATTATTAATAAAAGTAATATAACTCTTAGAGATATAGGATAATATCTTAGCGTAATTAAGATTATTAAAGTTATTAATAAATAATAATAAGTTATAATAATAATAATAATAATTTATTAATAATAAGTTAGTATCTTTCTTAATAAAAAGGTAAACTATAAAATAAAAATATAATAATAAAGTTATTATTAAAGAAAAAATAAAGTAAAGAAGAGCCTATATAAAAAAACCTATAGATATAATAAGAGTTAAGTCTATAAAAGTATAATAACTTAAAGCTATATTTAAGTAAGAGCTTAATAACTTAATAGCAATAGATTAATAATAATATCTTAAAAGGGGATAAAAATATATAAACTCGCTTAATATTAAGTAAATAAAAAGGTAAGCTTTTTATAATTAATAAATATTAAGAGGTTAAGACTTAATATTATCTTAGCTTAAGCTAAAATTATTATTTTCGATTTTAATAAAGGCTTTAAAAGAGCCTATAAATAAGATAAGGGTAACTTTTAAGTAATTACTTAATAAAATTAAGGTATAATTAGAGTTATTATAAGACGCTAAAGAGGTAGCTAACGATAGGTAAGTTATTACTATATTGCTATAAGGTCGCTCGCTAAATAAGTAATAAAAGATATCCCTTTTAAGAAAGGAAAATATAGTATTATTCTTAAAGGGACGAGAATTTATAGTAATAAAGCTATAATAAAAATTAATAATAAAAGAGCTATAATAAAAAGGTAATTTACCTTTAAGAGCTAAGCTATTTATATAATAATAAGTAAAAAACATTAAAATTTACTATAAAAGTAATATAAGATAGTAGCGAGTTATTAAAGGGGTTTTAAGGCTAATAGCCTTAAGTATATTATATTTATAATAAATAAGAGTTTTATTAAATAATATATTAATAAAAAGTAAGAAATTAATAACTTATTAATAACTTAAAAAAGAGAAATAAAGATATTATAAATATAAAAAAGGTATTATTAAAATATATAATAAATAAAGAATATAAATATATTAAAAAAGATAATAAAGATAAAGGAATAAAAAAGGAGCGATTTATAGGTAAATAATAAATATATAAAAAAGGCTATTATATATATTATTACTTTAAGCTATATAGTTATATATAATTATATAAGGTATAAATAATTATTTAATGCCTTAAATATTAAAGTAATTAAGTTATATAATAATAATAATTTATTTATAAAACGCTAGTAATATATACTTATTATAGAGGAATAAGTATAATAATTAATTACTTAATTAAAGGTATTATAACTATATATTTATAGTTAAGATAACCGCTCTAAAAAGGGGGGAATAATTATAATAATTAGCTAAACTTAAAGCCTTAATAACTATATAGTATATATATAATAGCTAGCTCGCTAAGGTATACCTTTAATAAGTTATTAATAAAATACTATATAAACCTTTAAGCTTTAGTCTCTAACTTATAGTAATAATAGTAATAGCTACTAAACTATATAGCTATTACCTCTCTTACTTAATTAATCTATAAGACCTATTATTATTATAAATTTAATTATAATAAGATATAATAAAATATAGCTAATATTATTATAATAATAAAGGTAATAACGCTAAGGGAGTTAATAAATAATAAGAGAAGTAATATAAGCTTATTACTTTTATTAATATAGATATAATAAAAGAGGCCTTTAAGGATATAAGTTATATAAGGTATATATATCTTTTAAGTATTAATAAGTAAGTATATTAGCGCTATTAAAAGCGCTCTCTATAACTATCGATATATAAGGCGAAAATAAGAGCCGAACTAATTATAAGCTATAGTAATATTAGCTTAATAAGTAGCTAAACCCGGGCTATAGACTTTAGCGGTATTAATAGGCTTAAGTATTAAAACTAGCTAATGCCGCTATATATATCTAAGTAGAGTATATATAGGAACTGCTTTTAGAGGCCTTTTAGCTAAGTATAAAAGCGTAATTATATTAGAGCCTTTATATTAATGAAATAAAAGTATTATATAAAGCGCCCTATAGAGGATTATAGGTATTATATAGTAAGAGTAGCTCTTAGAGAGCTGCTATTATTTATAGCCTTTTCTCTAAAGTATATAAATTTCGGCTTATTTTACTTAATATTAAGGTATTATATTTATTATACTATATTAATTAATAGTATTAATATAAGGGGTTAGAGTTAGCTATAGCAGGCTATAGCTATAATATAGATATATAGCTAAAATCGGCATTAAATCATTAATATTATAATAGACTAGCCGATTCTAAGACTAAATAATAAATATCTAGAAATAGCTATAAAAGAGTTCTTAATTAAATATCGAAGTATTATTTTTAAGTAATACTATTTAGATAAATAGAAAAGTCTAATTATATACTTATTCTATATTTTTCTAGGTCTGTACCTTACCCTTATATTACGCTAGCTATTTTTAGTATATAGGTATAAGATAATAATAGCGCGCTAAAACATACCCTGAAATCTTAATTAAATAGTATTTTTATAATATAGCTATCGCGCTATAAGGCTAGTAAGGCATTAATAGGGCTTAATTCGCTTAAAAAATATATTTCTATAGTTTCTCTATAATATTATTATATTTAGATATATATTATTCTGTTTTAGATCCCTTTATTAAGCTAGCTAACTATACTAGCGTTTATAATACTCTTATTACTATTAATTATATTTATGCCCTTAATTTTATTTACCTTAATTATAGCGTTAATAAGGCTTAATTCGCCTAAAAAACGTATTTCTATAGTTTCTTTATAATATTATAATATTAAGGGTATATTCTTTTACTTTAAGGTCTCTATATTAAGTCCCTTAACTATATTAAGCTCTAAGCGTAATTATAGTTATAGCTATATAGCTAGGATAACCTTATTTTATAAGGCTAAGGTAGAGGTAGCCTATAATATTATTAAGGTAGCCTATAATACTATTACTATAGTTTATAATACTATTAATATAGTTCGTAATATTATAGACTAGCTATAAGCTATAGCGCTATTACGAGCTTAGCTATAGCTACCTTATAATCCCCTTATAGTTTATAACCCCTTTAAGGCTAGTTATAATGCCTATAAGCTCTTTAAAGCTAGCTATAATACTTATAACGCTTATAATAACTATAAGAGCTCGTCTTTAAGCTCGAATTATAAGTAGTTATAGTAGATACTTAAGTTTAAAGGTCGGGTTCCTTAGCTAGTAACTTAACTAAGCTAATAGCCTTAAGCCTTACCTTTACCCCTGCCTTTACCTTAAGTCTCTTATAAGCCTTATATATATATTTACCTCGAGGCCTAGCTTTATTATATAAAATTAGCTTTAGCGTTATTATCGTTAGTATTATTAATAGCGTTATTATTATCGGCGATTTTAAGGTATTAAGGGATCTTAAGCTTCTTATTAATAGTATTAAAGCGCGGCCGGCTATAGCTATTAGTTATAATAATAAGGTTATAGATATTAAAGTAGCTATTTTCGAGGTTCTATAGATAGTTAGTAAACGGGCTTAAAAGTAAGGTATCTTATAATAATATAAGGAGATAAACTAAGGGCTTTTTAAGCTATTAACGGGGAGTAATTTAATAGCAGTAAAGTAGCTAGTCTTTAATAAAGTAAGTAAAGATTATATAATTATAAGGTAGGCTATATTAACGCTTAAAGTTACTTATATAAGCCCTTAATAATTAAAGCTCGTATTAATTAAGTATTATAATAAAGGTAAAGCAATATTATTTAGCGAGAAAGTTAATAGCGGAATAGGTAAGCTATTAGTTTAATTTACTTAACTAAGCTTAATAGGTATATTAAAGCTATTACTTTTAAAGCTATTTAATAGCCTCTTAAGTATATAAATAAGCCTTATTTTCGATTATTATTTATAGCGCCTTATAGAAGCGATAAAGGTTTAATATACTTATTATAAGATAAGATTTAATATTTATATAAGTAATCTTAACTAAGCTATTAACTCTTTAACTAAAGTTATAATAGCGGTTAATATAGTACTTTACTTATTACTTATACTATAATATATATTAATCTTATAGGTATTAAAAGATATACCCTTAATAGCGGCTAAAGGTCTTAATAAGGTATCTCTATAAGTCTTTAAAGGTATCGTAATTAATAATATAGATAATAGCTTAAAAAGCCTTAAATATACCCTTATAGCTATATTCTTCGTTATTTAAGCTCGAGCTTAAGATACCCTTTTCTACCTCTTATTATATATACTTATAGCCCTTAAGATTAAGGTCGAGCTTAGAGTTTAATAGCTCTATAAACGGGTTATTATTATCATTATTAATAGTAATATTAAAGTTATTATTATCGCTACTTCTTTTATCTTTTTAATAAGAGTTAATTTTAGCCTAAGCGTTAGCTATAAAGTAGTATATATATAGCTATTATTATATATTAAGAAAGACCCTTATAAGCGCTATTTAAAGAGCTTATTCTTTATCGGTTATTATAACTTTTAGGGTAGGTATAGTAAGGCTTTTATAAAGCTCGTTAAGTCTCTTAATAAGCTATTAAAAATAATACTCTTTTTTGCTATTAATAAGGCTAAAAGTAAAGTTAGCGATAGTCTTTTAGTCTATAATGCCTATAGCCTAAAAAAATAGTATCTTAAAGTAATTAATTTAATATATATTATTAAGGCTAAGAACTTTTAGGAACTTCTTTTATATCTTATAATACTAAAGATAAGTCTAAAAGAGAGCCTTAAGGTAGCCTTTATTATCGAGTAGCTTATTAACCTTAATCTCGCTATCTTCGAGCTCTTTAATAAATACCTATATAAAAGTTAAGCTATTAAGCTATTCTTTCTTTATTATTTACCTATTATTATAGATATCCTTTTTATAGAAGAAGGGATAGTCTAGGTCGGTATTATAGATAATATTTACTATCTCTTAGGCTTATATATTATACTTAACTATAAGCTCCCTCTCTTTCTCTTATTATTTTACTATACGGTAGCGAAAAATAGCGTAAGTAAATAAATCGAGAGACTAGCTATAATTATACTAACCTTTAGCTATTTTATATACCTATTTCTAACCGGAAGACTTAATAATTAAAGCTATAACTTTAATAGGGCAATCGAGCTTTTAAGATATTACCTTTTAAATACCTATACTTTTAGAGGCTCGCTTAGGGCTATAATTATAGTAGAAGACGATATATAAGAGTTAAGAGATACCGTTAATTATATGCTTAATAGTAAAGGATTTAATAAAGTAAGCGCCGCTCTTACGGTAGAAAGAGGTTAAGAAGTTAAAGAGGTCTTCGAAGGTATCGAAAAGAGGTAATAGCGGTAGTAAAGGGATTAATATATTAATAGAATTATCGTTAAATACCTTACTAACGTTAAAATTATTATAAGATACCTTAATAGTATTAAGGCTTATTAGAGGCTCGCTAGGCTTATTTATAAGCGGCTATATATTAATAAGAGGGTTAGATAAGTTAAGAAGAAGGTTAAGATTTATATCTCTAGCTATAAGCCTGCGATATAGCTATTTAGCTATATTATAGGCTATAATATAGTATTAAGAGGCATTAGCCGCGATATATTAAAAACGCTATATAGGCAGCTATTATATAAGTAGGTTTATAAGCTCTTATAGTAACTTATACTTATATACCTTATTTATATATAGCGGGCTAAGCGGCTTAAGATTAGCTAGAAAAAACTAGGATATAGGGCTATTTATACGACTAGACTTTTCTATCTGTCCGAATAGTACTACTCTTATTTTTAGGGGAATTACCTATTCTTTACGCTTCGATATAAATCGTTAAGAACGGCTATTAATCTAAGCTTAAAGACAATAATAAATTATAATTATATCCGAGAACCCGCTAGTTCCTTTCTATTACTATAAACTAGTCGTATAAATATAGTAATATAGTAAGAATTTAAGACTTCTATAGCTCAGAGTGCCTAAGAGCTATCCTCGACATTTAGAATAGTAGCGGAGAGTATAAATATAGTAGCTATTTTCGGCAGCTCTAAGGGGTAATTCGCTACCTTTTACGCCTTACTTATAAGCGATAGCTAATAGCTAAATTCGGCGTTAAAAGCGTCGGCTTATACTTTAACGAGCGGCAACTAGAATATAATATAGCAACTACTTTTAGAGGTATTCCTATTAGATCGAGAGCGCGATTACTAAAGTTAGCAAAAAGGGATTAAAGGTATCCTAATGTTAATATTAACGAATTATAGGCGGAGTTATAAGCACGAGTATTAACTAGCAGCCTATCGCGGCCTTTTTTTTAAGATTGCTCAGATTTAGTTAGTTTAGCCTATTAATCTAATATTAGTATTATATAAGGTCTATAGAGCTATAGCCCTAATAGCTAGGAGTCATACGTTAGTAGCGTAGAGTGCCTGCAGTACTAGTAATAGAGCTAATCCCGGCTTAGCTCTGCCTTTATATTAGCAGACAGCCGATTCCGGCGTTAGCAGGGGTCTTTTACGATAGTCCAGGACCCGCAGCCTAAATAGGTCGGAGTCATAATAGACGCGAGCGTCGGGGCATATAGCTGCCGCTATAACGACCGTCGGCCCGTCGTCGTCGGCATGACATCCTTTACTGCCCCATACGCTATCGTCCGATTGCATCTCTATTAGGCAATTAGCTCTATAGGGATTACGGTTAGTATTGCGTTAGTTAATAAGAATTATCTTAAAGAGCTATCTATAAGCGTATAATAGTGCGCTACTCTTTATATATAAATAAGAGTTTTTGCTTGCTTAGGCAGTAATAGCTGCCTGTCTACGTAGCTACTACTATTAAAGGCAGCTAAGACATGCGATATCTGGCTCTTTATGCGACAATCTCCTCGCAGTCCGGCTCCCCGCCGCATTATCTTAATAGTAACGTAAGGCGATCGGTTCGAAATGCCGACGATTATAGCTTGCTATATAGCCTTTTGCCCTCACGCACCGCGGGCAGGGCAGTAGCGTAGTTCTAAAGTATGTCTGTTAAGTTCGCCGCTTGCGTTAATAGCGTAGCTTCTAGCGGTTTATCGTCGCTGCCCTCTACCGGCAGCTATATCGGCCGAAGTTCGCTATATAAATACTGTCGGGGCTATTTCTAGTGTCGGGGGTATTAACCAATAAAGAAAACTTTAGACGCCTGCTTAGAGCAAAAGCGGGGCTATTATCCAGCCGGCACTAGCTTTTATAATTCTTCTGTTAGTAGTGCCCCCGACACTAAAAATAAGTGAGTAAGTACTAGCGGACGATCTTAAGCATACCAGCCTATATATCCTCGCGAAAGCGAGCCGCTTAGCTATCGTCGTCTAGGTCTCTATCTTTTAGATAGTCCCTTATCTTAAGCGTATTAAAGGCCGCTAGGTACTTTAATATAAACTCGAGCACCTCCTACTAGAGTAATATAGACGTAGTCTCGTATAGTAATTATAGCGTTATAGATAGATAAAATATCTTTACCCGCTTCTTAGCTTATCGTAGCTATATCGGGGTATAGTAGTCTAGTACCGGCATTAGGTCTAGGTAAAGCTGCGGCTTAGTATTACTCCTATAGTTAACGCCCGTTCGTTTATAGTTTACCTAGCTTACGACTTAATCTAAGACCTAGAATAGAACGCAGCTATTCCCTCTTAATATGCCTGTAATACGGTAGACGTCTAGAAACCGGAGCGCTAGCGTACGTAAGACCTAGTCGTAGATATCCTAGTACTCGCTATCGTAAAAAGACTATAGTAGCTTATAGTTACGTTTACTCGCGGCATTAAGCGGCTTGCTAGATTAACCCGGGTAGAAGAGCTCCTATACCTACTCTTAGGTGCGCTCGGCGCCAAGAGAGGCGCTCATCTTCTTCTAATCCTCAGACGAGACGAGCTTCGCGGC